AAGACGGTGAGGAGAGAGAACGATGAGTACTCCAACCGGTGGTAGGTGTGACAAGGAGAGATAGAACACAGGTGAGGAGAGAGAAACCGTGGATGAGGAGAGAGAAAGTATGGGTATAGAGGTTGTCGAAGAAAGAGAAGTGTAGAAGGTTAGATTAAAATTTAAAATGACAGGATTTGAGGTGTTATTTTAAAATTTTGATTTTGATCTTATTTTTAGATGGGTTGAAATTTAGCCCAAATCTAGAATTAAAAATCTTAGGTTTGTCAGACATGTTATTTTGGCCAAATGAAATCTGTATTCCCAAACAAGCCATATAGTGATTCCAATTGGAGATGAATTTAAAGTTCAAGATCTTTACGTTGAACCGATCAATAATTTGCACTACCCGTATAGCTAAGTTGGCTGTACTTGTCAACTGCCACACCTTTATGAGCTATTTTTTTCTTATAAAAAAAAAAAGAAGAAAAAAAAAATTCCAACTTTTAACAACGGTAAAAGATCCAAAGGGAGTTCCAATAACCTTATTTGCGTAGAATATTTCCACCAAAAGCATATATTTTCTCTGTTTTCTTTTAGTTGAAATATTTTGATTTTCATACTTATTAATGCATAGTTTTAAACTTTTAATCATTTATGTCTTTAATTATACATAAGTAAAAAAAAAAAAAAAAAAAAAACAATCTCTGTAGATTATATTGCAAAAATATAAATTAAAACGAATTTAACAAGATCTCAAACGACTATTTTGCTCAACACATAAATTAACAAAAGTGATCAAATAAATTAATGTGAATAGTGTAAATTTTCAAATATTGCAATTATTCCGTAAAAGAAAATGAAGTACTAGGATGATTTAATATACATGTACGTAGTATAATATTATGACATACTCCGTACTTCGTATAAGACTTACCATTTCATAGCATGGCCCCAAACATCACAACTTGGGACATTATACAATCCACAAATTCCTTAGTTTCCTCACATGGCATAAAAAAGCCCGTGTTTTTCTCCACTCCCCCACTTTTTTCATCAACAAATTCCCTTCATTCCCCCAAGAACCAATTTGCATCGCTATGTTCCTATTATTACAGTAGCTGCACTTGCGGTCCAACAAGTACTGCAATTTATCACTCCCACCTGCTCTACAATTAATCAGCAATTTGACATACAAGATCCAAAGCACGTGTCCTACCACACAAGAATTTACCAACTAAGTTTACTAACATCCACCAGAGATTTTACTGACGTTAACATCTATGCCAATAAGAACAGACACTTCAATCCAACAAGAACGATCCTGTTCGTGACAAAGGACATAGTGCTTTCACTCAGACCCATTCGTCAGAGGAAACTTGATTCACAAATTCATAAGATTTCATATAGATTAACCCAATACCGCAGTACCAATACATCTAATAGGAAACAGTTTGATGATGATAAGAAGTCGACATAAAGAGTGTTAAAAAGAAGAGCTAACATGAGGCTCCATGACAGAAGTCTTTACCAGCATATTCTTAAACACATGAAATCTGAGTAAAGCTAACAATATCAGTATTAATATATTTCATTCCACACTCTAATGCCTAAGGTAACTTGAACCGATCAGAAGTCAATTTACTTGGGTCCAATATCCTTGAGACCACAGATCTGTTCTTCTCCCATGGCACACTGCACACTCACAATCAGGTCTTTTCCCTCGGAAAATCCATCCTTGATCTGTAAAACATAGAGCAATGCATGTTATTAGCAATTGACTATTCCATGAAGATTTTGGAGGAAAAGGAAAAACACAGATCAAATCATATATACAAGCAAAACTGCTCATAAATTTAACAACCAAAGCCGCAAAGGCTGAATCTGATGATGAGCTTACCATAGACTTTAAAGCATAAAAAATTGTTATGTGATGCACATTGCCACAAAGATTATACATCTCAATTCACATGAAAGCAATCCATTTATTTCCACGACAAACCGTTCACTGGTTCACACCCAAAAACACTGAACCCCCTTGCCCCAAAGGGAAAAGGTAAATTACAAATAATTCAGAATAAAAGCAAAGAAAAGACTCCAGTTACTTAAGTTGCAATGGCAGCTTTCTTTCAAACAAACAAAAAAAAAAAAAAAAAAAAGTTGCAATAGCAGCTAGAGGCAGCTCGGGTCATTCAAAAAAATATTGACACCCAATAGGCAAATTGCAAGAACAATTGTAATGATAACCTCTGTCATGACAGCTCGTCTATAGAAATAAACCTAACAAGCCTAGCTACGTATTATACATGTTGAAAGAAGCTTAATTGTAATCAGAATCAGTATAGCCATTCATGAAAGTAGGTTCCCAAAACTGTGAAAAGTTTAAAGATTAAATGATAATACCTTGAAAAAAACAATCACAACATCACTTAATAAACAAATAACAAGGACAATGCAGACTAAGGCAAATAGCAGTATACAGTATACACAGACCTGCTTCAGCAGAGCTTCATCCGTTGGCAGCTTCAAGTCATCCTTAGTGTCTCCACTATCAGTCAGCAGGCTCACCTGAAATAGTACTTGTATTAGACAACAGGCACCCAAATATTAAAGGATCAAGCCAAACAAAATCACATTAGATACTAGTATACTCACAAAACCATCCTCGGTTATGTCAAGGAGCTGGTAATCAGTACGAGTGACATGGGGAACCTGCAAACCATTGGTAAATTCCATTTAGTTCAAGGAAAGGACATTACGACGAAGAAGAAGACATGGATTGGACCATACATCACAATTATGAGAAGATGGAACAATATCCTCAAGCTTCTTCCCATTGAAAATATCAATACCAACAAAGTTACATTTGGCATGGCCGTGCTTGCCGGTCTTAGAGGTGGATACTTCAACCACCTGCAATATCAAAACAAGATTGTGGTAAGTAATTTGATTTCAGTGAGCATTCTGACTTTTTCATTGCAAAAGTATTAACCTTGATGTTATATAATTACGGTTCTTGCTAATAAAAAGAGGCACTGGTACAAAAGAAACTCAAAGTCATCAAAAACTCTTTCAACTCACTCAGAAACAACCAAAATCATGACAATCCTTCTCCTCCTAAAAAAAAATTATAATGAACTACAATCCAACAATGCCTATTCGATAGGATTAGGGAAATAAAACAAAACATAATTTATTCAGGACTGCACATAAAAAAAAGCTCTAACAAATTATCAACAGCTACCCAGACATCGAAAACTTTGCAAGGAAAACGAAGGTTTAATTTATCTTCAATCAACATCATATAAAGTAACATAATAATTCACACAATAACAAACATTTTCACGTCATGTTTGTTTCTCCCAAAACAGCATGAAAATATGTAGCTATCTAATCGTATTTTCCAAACAAATCAAATTACATCCAGAAACATTGAAAATCCAGCTGAACAATAATCTTCGAAACTTACACATATAAGGGAAATCGATTTCTATGAAAAATAACATCTCATTAAAGAAAAAGAAAAAAAATCCAGTCATAATCATATTCAATAGGAATCCATAAAAATATTATCAGGAACACGAGACAGAAATCTGACTAAAAACGCTAAAAAAAGGCGAATCGCAACAGAAATTGAAAGCAATCGTTATCAATGCTAAATAATCTCACTAAAACCCTAAAATCCGAGCTAGAAACAAAGTCAAATGACAAATTTTCATTCTTTCAAAACAAAAATTAAAAAAAAAAAAAAAGCATGAAAATGGAGAAAAACCTTGCAAGGGCGATTCTTGATGACGATGTAACCATTCTTACGGATGGTACCAGCTTGCTGAGGGAAAGTCTTGGAGGCACCGGCATCGGCCTTGGACTCGAACTGGTGCTCTTCGTCAGACATGGTTATGGCGTCTTCCGAGGAGAGAGAAAATTTCAGAAAACCTAATTTTATTTTTTTAAATAAATAACAAGGGACGAGATGAGGTGCGCCGTCCGCGTTTATTGTAAGCAGGAGGAAGGAGTGTGGCCCTTATATTGGATATTTGATATTGGATATAGAGCCATTTTATTCAGGGGATTTTTTTTTAATTTTTTTATTATTGACTTTTTATACTTTTGAAATTTTTGAAACCAAAATTTAATCTCTCATTTATAACCTTTGTAGACTACGGAGTCATAACTCATAAGAGAATCAACGATAATATTATGACTTTGAGGTTGTATATTTGCTCGAGAATAAGAGAATTTTCTTTTCTTTCTTTCTTCATTCTCAAGCGTTAGATCTATATAGCGGGACTAGTTAACTTATGACTCTATAACACTTGCTAATTCAATAAAATTATTTTTATCTATTTAATTTTAATTTAAATGGAATTGAACACGTTCTTTGAATTTCACTTACCGAGTATAATTGTATGTGTATTTAGGTGTAAAGTAATATATATTCTTTTGTAGATAGATTAAAAATGTTTTTTGAGTTTATAAAATATGATCTTTGTAAAAACAAGATTATCGAAAATGAATAGCAGCTTTGTCTAGAGGGAATTTCTTTTATTTGCAGCTTGTCAAACAATAAAAGCTTTGACAAGGCCAATTAACTCTGCTGCATCTTCAATTCTTCATCCCATCATCATTGTAGCTTAGATGGGAATTCACATATGAAACAAGACTCCAGGAATCGACTGATATTCAATGGACAATGAAACTTGGCACAACCTCACAGCAAAACCCCTTCAAAAGATGAAAATCCTTAACCATTAACATCAGATAAAAGATGCAGTCAACAGTTATAAGACAAAAGGATGGCAATCAAGATGAGTCAATTGACCTTAGCTGGCCACTTGCAAGATTGTGGAGTAAATTCAGCAAGATGTGTAGGTTCACAGTCAACGAGTAGCGCATGAAAGTTATGTTTGCAGCATATGATATCAGACAGATTATAGTTGTTAAGATGTGCCTCATTTCCTTGTCAGAAAACCTCAGACCTTAGTAGATGCAGAAAATGAATAAGATGGAAAAAAGCCAGCAAAGAACAAAGCTGTTTCTTAAACAGAAAGCTGTTATTCTTCAATCTAATTGCAAATCATACAAATTATAATTAGCTAGGTAATAAGCAACTTTGAGTACATCGTAGTACAGAAAAGAGAGTGAGTCGCATTCAAAATATTAGTATTGATTACAATGCCTAGTTAAATAAAGAAAGAATCTACATTGTCATTTGGAATCCACCACTATCTCCGAACAGAGCTCCCAACTGCTGCAGATTTCAGATTACTTTCACCCAATTCTTGAATGAATATTTGAGGTTGGTTTTCTCTGGTAAAAGTAAAAGCATTTCAATTTAGTAAGTCTCCACAACCAAATAACTTGCTACATTAAGCAAACAAAACCAAAAATGATGAAAATTAAATGCAAGCAGAACAAGATTTACATTTTCCTAGAATTCAAAAGTTGAAGTTCAGAAGCTGAACAAATGCAGAATCTGGCATTCGTTAGTATTGTTTATGGCTCAGAATGCAAGTAAAACCCCACAAAAAAGAAAATGTTTTTTTAAGAGAAGCTAAACTTGCCAAATAAAACCTTACCCAACATATGATGATTAGCAAAGGGCCAGTAATATTACCACCTCTTACTTTCTTAGGAATATCATTGGCACTAGTGCACTACTCCTTAGTTCCTCAGTCCCTCCATCCCAAATTCATCTTCAGGCTTTTCATTTTGGAGTGTCCTAAAAATCTTCACCACTCTTTTTCCCCATTTATTTCTCCAGCACATCAATTGTTTTCAAAATTTCCCAATACTTTCTCTTACCTTTTCTCACTCTACCCACTTTCAATTATTAATTCTATATATAACTACTATTCTTAACCTCCGAGACAATTTCGAGTGAAGATAAATTTAGGACAGTGGGAATATTTTTTAAGCAACACATATTATACATAACCAATACTTACAGCAGCCCACACATATATCAGCCATTAGCACCATTTAAATTTTTACCATCATTTCATTTATACCATTCCTTGCGACATTGCAACTGTTATTGGAATCTTAAAGAGATGATAAGTTGACAACATACTCAAGGAAAGACATGTAAGGAGGGAGGGCAGAGATCTTACATTTCATTAGCTTCTTGGTATGTATAACATGAAGCAACTGCCAAAAGCTCCCCTGTATGGTTATATGATAACGAAGCCACACTATTTGGATATCTTGTAAGCTGCAAACACAATTCATATGAATTGCTTAGATTATGAGTATCATTTGACTGGTTTATCTGGAAAAAAGCACATAATCCATATGTCTCAAAGGGGGGGGGGGGGGGGACGTGAGAAAGAGAGGGAGTCAACTTATAAGCTTCAAGAGCAGAAGAATATACCTCTAACAATCTCTTTCTGTTTGAACCATCCCATGCAATGACATGACCCTCATTATCACCAGTGACAAAAACACCTGGAAGACTGTTAAATCACCTAATTATTTATAGAAGCTTCAACAACAGAAAAACATAAGCAACAATGGAAGAATACATACGATTGACTGAAGGCAATATCATTCACTGTTACAAGATGATACTTTCCTTTTGTTGATTTGGGAATACATCGAAACGTATACCTGTGAAGATTTCACAGTACAATAAGAATCATGAGACCAAAAATATTCAGCAACTTGAAAAGGCTACAGGCAAAAGGCAGCAAAGACTGGACTGCCCGGCAACTGTATGAAATGAGAGATCAAATAAGGATTATAAGAGCAGACTAGAACCACATCAACCGGCAATTAAATGTTAATTGTTTTATAATACTCCATATATGCAATCTATTATACACAAAAAAAATCACTTAAAATAATTATCATGGGAATATGTTAAATACAGACATATAACCCATGATATAAGCCTTATGTTCAAAAGCAAAAAGACAAAAACATTCTATATTTCCAAATGACATCCAGTAGTAACATGTAAGCATCAATGGCTAAGTTTCCAGGGTTCTGCTATATTTAGGCTCCATTTGTTTTGACAGAAAATTTTCTTAGGAAAAGGAATTTCCCGTTTTCTATCATTTGGTTTGTAAAGAAAGGAAAACATTCCCGAATGTGGAAAATAATTTTCCCAGTAGAGGAAAACATTTTTCTTTTTAAATGAAGTAATGCCAACTTTTTCTCCCTACCAATAGCTATTTTTTCCCCTTCCATCCATCTTCTACCTTCTATTCTTACATTCTTCTGTATTTATAAATTTTTTTGTAAGGAAACTAATTTTACAATTGTGTTTTCTATTGAAAATTGTTTTCCATGAAAAATCATTTTCTCAAAAAATGTTTCTAAAAAGAAAAATTGACAATGAAATCTACTGTATAAGAATAAATATAATGGCATTATTTGAAAACAGGTTTCCAATAGCTACTCTTAACTGTATTCCAATGAACTGAACAATGAGATCAAACTTTACTGATTATAGCATCTATGTTTAATCAGGTGGTTAGAGACTTGAAAACAGATTGAGCATATTTATCTACCGACTACCACAGATATGATCTTACATCAATTTGTGGTACATTAGCTTTTAACATATTGTTTCTAACATCAAGACAGAGCTGCAAATGCTCTAGATGCTGACCAATCTTCAAATGGCCAGTCATCATCAAAGTAGAGATCATAGAGAAAAACAAGGAGAATGGCTCCCTATATTGCATATTGTAACAAACATTCATGCAAAAAATTCCAGCTTTATACACGAGTAGATTACCCCTTCTCTTCTGAATGTGATTGTAGTGTCACATGACCATCAAGCGACCCAACCGCAAAGCCTAAATGCAAACCAAGGGTTCAGTTTAGAGTAAATATGTGATTTCATGATAAGATAGAGATAGAATGGCAGAAAGCAATTTGATAGTATTCCGACAAGGTGACTATTATCCTTCATTCAAACCAAAGATTAATTTGAAAAAGAAAAAAAAATATATTAAAGATGCATGAATTTTTTTTTGCCAAAACTAAATGACTCTAGAACAGCAAACAAAAGATACCTTTCTGGAATGCCATGGAGCGTAGACATCTTATCCTTTTATTCATTGATAAATCCTCTGCTTGGATTGCTTCATTCAGTTTCCGCAAGTCATATTTACGCACCGAAGAACCAATGGCTGCTAACAATTCAACTCCGCATAGTGAAATAGACTCCACATGTGAATTGGAGCCAACCAAAGCATGTGAAGCCTTTGCTAAGCGTGAGTCCCATGATACAACATTTCCATCCCAACCAGCTGTTATCACTTTCCCTAGAGATATAAGCAACTAATATTTAAGAGCTCGTTAGAACTTAAATGAAGGAATTAATTTAGTAATGATAGTGCTATTGCTTCAACAAAGCCGCCAAAATTCTCAAGCATGCTCATACCTATAGACTGTAAGATTGTTTGATTTAGTATCATGTCCAATAATTTCGTTCCTCTAAAACTTTTCAATGAAGAACACAGACTACATACTTCGTAATACAAAACACATTTCACAGCCTGCCTACAACAAGAACTTAAAGCTTTAAAGATGGTCCACAAATTGTATCAGGCTCATACTGTGTATATGGGCCAGCCCTCAGTTGAAGTATTAAATAATAATGCCACAAAGATGCCACCAAGTTCTTACAATCATCTAGCATTACACACATGTGCAATTCACTACAATTTCTTATGATACTAAAACTCTATTAGTGTTATCACAAGTCTGGCATTTCTATATAAAAGTTTTAAGATCATAGAGGGACGAACATGTTAGGTGAGCTGCCATGTAAAACTTGATGGTGAAGCAGCAATAAAGTTCATGGAGATGATTGATGACGAGTATCAGATAACAATACTTTGGAACCTCCCAGTTGTGATAAGGCAAAAGAGAGATGGACAAGCCAAGGTCAATGACATGGGTTTCGTGTGAACTTATTGGGTAAGTATTCTGGGATAGGTTGTACGCAATTCCATTTTCCAAAGAACGTCATAATGATTTATTGTTTCATTTAAATCTCATGAAAACATGTATTATGGTTCTGAGTTAGCTGATTGAGCACATTAAAAGTCCTGCTACTATTCCACTCCTAGCTATATGCCTCTTGACCCTCTTCTGTAGTACTCCCTCCGTATTTTATTACTTGCTCTACTTTCCTTTCGTAGTCGTATTTAATTACTTGCTCCATTTCCCTTTTTGGAAACTTAACAATATTTACTATTTTCCTCCTCACTAGTGGTCCCCTCATACCATATTTTAATATTTTACTTATTCTGTCTCCTCCCTACTTATGCTCACTTTTGCTTTTTTAGATTTTTTTTATTCTTCAACAAACCCCACTTCCATCACATTTTATTATTTTCTATTACTTTCTACTATTTCTCCCAAAACTCCGCGCATGAAGAAATAGAGCAAGTAATAAAATACGGAGGGAGTATCTATTTATTATGCTTTTGTCCTTTGATGCTTGGTTTCCCATTAGTTATGATGATTTAACTCTTTGTTGGGACCATTGCCTATTCATCTGGCCTTTATGCTTAATTAATTTTCATACTGAGCTCTTAGATGAGTAAAATATTGTTATTTGAGTTACAAATCGATTGGCCATTAATAGTATTATCTCAATACCTCACTTTCTGGAGTGGTCTTCTGCTTATACAAAAGTAAAAGAAAGGGGAGAGATAGCACATGTGTTAACGAGATCTTTTGGTACCACATTGCTTTTGATAACTGGACAGACCTGTAAATATGGGGTGCAAACTATTCTTTTTTGTCTAGTGCCATAATTTTAAGGCTGTGCTGTTCTCTAGGTTCTTGAAATGAATTGCAGGAAGACTAATCCATATCTGATACTAGGAGCAGAGTCATTTTCTTTGCTATCATAATCTGATTCTGGTACATTCACAGTCCAAATAATGGCTCCTTTTTTCCTACTTATGTTGAAGTATTTGTGACATTGATAAATCAGATAAGATGTTGACTTGGTGCAAATTGTTACTTCAGTTGTGCCAATTTCATACTTTATTAGCTGGAGTTGAAATAGCTGCTTTCTGATGTGGATTACAATCCTTCTCAATACCCTTCTTACTATCACATATCAGAAGTTTTAAGTACTATTAACTGTATGCAATAGGGCTAAGGCATTAATGTGCTATACTAGCTATACTAGATAAGACTTAAGAGATGTGTGTTGTGGGGAGGTTGAGATAAGGCAACAAACTCTTAAGGGGTCTAGGGCATCAAGATCATATAATTTATTTATAATTATAAAAAAAATTATTGATCCTTGAATAGTACAGTTCGGTGTCTATCATCATCCCATTATGAGCGGCAAGCCAGCAAGTGGGCTTGATACAGAATAAGAGGAAATTGCCTTCTAATCTTATTTGATTTTGGAATTTACTGCTTAATATCAACATTGCATCAACTTGACCGACTCTAGTGAAACTGCTTACCATAGTTTTCCTATCAAACTGTTTAGCAAAGGAAAGGGGGAGAACTGCCGAGCTGGAGAAGGAAAGGGTTAGGGTAGGGAAGAGAGTTGTTTACGAGCTTATAGGCAATAATTTGACAAGGGAAAGAGTATGTAATAAGCTAGAATGAGGTGTCATTCATAAATCAATTGGCACTACAGACCTAAGTGATCCAATATACATACCATTTAAGAGAAGCAAAGATGTTGTAAAGAGCATGATTTTAGATTTACAGGGAGTTTTCTATTTACTAAGCTGCTCACTTTAATGTGGTTATTATAAAATTATACATAATCTGATAACTTTATCCTCTGATTAATGCAAGAAAAAGGACTATCCTACGTTTCCAGGATAGAAGAATGTTAAAACTGCCCTCAATTTATAAATTAGTGACCATCACTACTCATTGTTGTTTAATTTCCGTTGTTTTATCTAGCTATGTCAAACCACTGTCATTTCGAATTGGTTTTGGGACTTCAGATTACTAAATTCTAGTATCACTGGTTTAATGTGGATTATGATATTATCACTGGTTTAATGTGCTTATTAATATGATTTTCACTTGTTACTGTGTCTGATCCTTATGGACCTATTTTGGAGTTTCTTCCACATTCTATTATAATGACATGTTAGTATGAGTGACTTATAGAGTTCCTTTTGCTGCAGTACAAGAGCCACAGCAAAGAGGTGTCTAAGAGCTGCATCAGATGTAGTTTTTTCTACTAGTGTATATGCTCCAAGTATATAACCTTTTTTATCACGCGTTTTACAATGACACAAAGAAGATAGCCTTTATCTAGAGTAATGGGCAAATAACACTCTGATTAACTAACCTTTCATTTAAGCTATTTTAACATTAAATCCACATAAAAGCATACAAGTATAAAATTTAACAATTACAAACTAAGAAGGAATTATGAAAACTTTTTGGTTCTACTGACTTAACACATAACGCCTAAATTATCATAAAACCATACCACAAAGCATTTGCCTCCTAAACTAATTTTTATCACATCAAGTGCTCTACCAAATACTACTCACCTGTTTCTGGAGAATACTCAATGCAAGTTGCTGAATCTTCATGTTTTCCAATGATGTCATAAACTCCAGAGTGTTGTAAGTCATACCTAAGAAAATCCAGTCGCAGCAAAGTAATAACCATGTTGTTCTCAAACATAGCATGAAAAGAGGTGTTGGCTTAAATAAATTAATACAAACAAGGGTGAAAATTATGTAGCCAACCGAAAATAAATCAATACACACAAGGGTGAATATACAATTTCCAATCTAACATTTCAGGTAATTTAGTACTTAACATATATAGTGTTCTAAGATTCTCCATATTTAACAAAAACATAGGCAAGCCAATACTACCCCATTAAAGGAGAGACACCAAAAGTCTTCCTTACATTTCAAGTGTTAGATTTCAACCCTTTTCTAAGTCTTTTCACGCATTTTCTAGGCTTGTGTTTGCTAGAAGAGTGTTATAATTCCAAAATAAAGCTCTTTAGTGAGTGATGATCAATGAGCGAGAATCAAAGCTTCCTACCCCTTGCTGTCTTGCTTTAATACTTGTATTATGCTGTAGGCCATTATGACTAGCCTTATTTTAGATCAAAATCCATACTTTATCTTCACATTATTTTCAAACAACCTAAACGAACCGCCTGCGCTTATTAGGGTGTAATATCACAACTCACATATCAAAAATCATTAGCAGGGGTACTAAGAGTACAATTCCACCTTAAGTTCCTCCTTATCTCTCCTACATTCTCTCCCTTTCTCATTGTCTTCCTTCGATTATCATTCTTTCTTACTTTTTTAGGTAAATTTCGACTGCTCCCATGAAGTGGGTAATAAATTGGATAATAATTACAATTTCATTAAGCAACCCTTGAATAATTTTATGCCCAAATTTCAACAAAAAACCAAATTTTCAGGGAAAAAAACTACCTGAAAATGGATCCATCAGAAGCAGCTGAGAAAGCAACAAACTCATTCTGAAAACAGCAATCAAGAACTGCAGCTTCTGTTTGAACTTCTAATCTAAGCTTACTGCTTTCCACATCCACCAACCTAATACTCTAAAAAAATTGAAGAAAAAATTAATTAAATTGAGTTAAATTCAAAAGAAAATTGTGAATAAAAAATTTATGAAGAAGCAAATAATAGTAACTTACAGAATCCCAAGAAGAAATGAGAAGATTGTTGGATTCTGGAGCAAATCGTACACGAGTGATTGCATCTTTAATGGGTTCCTCGAAATTCAAACAATTTCCACTCATTTCCCCCAAAATAAAATTCCCAAAATTGGGATTTTTGGTTTCTAAAAATTTGAGTAAAATTTAGGGGAATGTGGAATCAAGGATAGAAGGATTTGTTTGCCCTAGAAATTTTTTTTACTGTTGATTATGAAGAGACGAACTCCTGGTTTATATTTTTGAATTCCCGCTCAAAAGATCGAGTGAGAACTGAGAAGTGACGAAGTGGGAGCGCCCAAAGGGAGTAAAAGGATGGCAAATAGAGCCGAGCAAAACTACTATTCGTATCAACTTTAGATTTTTTTTTTTTTTTTTTTTTTTTTTTTTTTTTTTTTTGGTGAAGGTGAGGGGCAAGCCCCAAAGAAAACAAGCAAAAACAGGAAACGAAAAACAAAAACAAAAACACCAAAGCAGCCGAGACAACTCTCCAAGTCAATCCACTAAGGTCCTCCAATAAAACAGCAAGAAAATCTTTCGGGATCGCCTCTAGTAATTCAAAGTCTCGATCCAAACACACCCCATAGTTGGCTAATCAATCGCTCGCGCGGTTAGCTTGTTCGTAGCAATGACTAATTGTAACCTCCCATTCCCCTTGAGTTATAAGAGCTTTACAATGTTGGATAAATGCACATACGAAGAGTTGGCGGGAATTTCTTCTACCAACATTTTAACAACCACCTTAGAGTCAACACAGAGTTGTACTCTCCTGTGACCTCCCTCCCATGCTACTTGAAGGCCACGCTAAACAGCACGTAATTCAACCTTAGTACACGAACACTTGCCACGCTTCAATGCAAATTCTTAGTATAATTCACCTCTATGCCCTCTTATAAGCCCTCCTCCACCACCATCTCCAAGATTACCTTTAGTCACACCGTCAGTGTTTAACTTTACCCAACCCTCTCTTGGAAAAATTTACTTCACATACACTTCCTTGTGAGGTCTTCTTCCAGCTTGCCCTTGCTGTAGATCACGTTCCAGAGTCCTTTTAATCTCACCAAGACACCAATCCTTGCAAATATGATACTAACCTGATCAATGGGAATATTAGGCAAACTCTTAAAAATTCTTGTGTTTCTCCACTTCCAAAGCCACCAACACACCATTGAGAGCACCCTAGGCCACTCTTCACCCATCCCAACTTCCGCCGCATTAATATTACAAATATCACGAGTGTTTTTAATTTGGGTCACTGGGTTCAATTTTTCAAGCTCAATTGAGACTAGCCGAATTCGCTCTTGTTCGGATTTAAGTTATGCTAAAATATTTTTCCTATTCAAGTTAAACTATGAATTGGATTAGATTGGATATAGATGGGTCGAGTCAGTTTGATACATATATACTGATTTGTATGACTGTATCAAATTCAATAATTTCATAAATTAAATGCCTATTCAAATAACAATTTTTAAATGACAATATACTTTCTTTTTTTTTTAACCACTTATTGAACATGTGAACTAGTAATTTTATGTTGATTAAAAAAAAAAATCTAGATTCAATCTGTTGATGTAAATGATAAATTGGAAAATAAGTTAAAAGGGGTACAATTAAGGAATATATTGATATCTTACAATTCTTTTTTCTTATTTATTTGGATAGATAGTACTTCGTATTTATTTATTTTTTTAAAGAAAAATACACGAAAGTTAGAAAAGAAAAGTCTTCTTTCAAAACTGTAAATTTAGAAAGATTGTATGGTTTTTTGAGAAAGAGGGTTTAAGGGAGCATTCCTTCAAATTGAATGCTTGTAATGGAATACATCATTCACCCTCCATAATATATCTATAGTTTGTGGGTTTTCTTCTAATAATGATTCTCAGTCTTCTCAAGATAATTTTCTTGTTTGCCTTTCTTTTATCAGACTTGGGTTACTTGCTAAGTTCTCATTAATTTTTAGTAAATACAAAAATATAATCGCTCTCTAAATTTTAATGACAGGCATTAAAGCCAAGATTGATTTGGTGTAGTACTGTAGTTTAGGGTTACACTTATGTTGAAAACTAATTTTTATTTTTTTTTTATTTTTTTTGGTAAGAAGACACTAATGAAACTTAGTTAAACAATCCATTTACTTCATTACTTACTAAAAGGGTGACTAGTTATTTCTTTAGTGATAGTTTATTTAGTTTGAAAAGTTCATGTCAATAATTTTATCTAGGCAAAAATTTGTGCCATTGAATGCAATTTAGCCTTGTTCTTTTACAAAAGTTCATGTCCATAATTTGAGACAAAAACTCGATGTAATTAAGTTTTCTCCTTCCTTCATTTTTCAATCACAGGTAAAGATTAGCTAGCAACCAGCCAACCACTAAGGCATTTACCTTGAACATCGACTGGACTAAAAGTGCTCCGATCACAGATTTATCATAAAATCCAAAGCGTAGAAGCCCATCCATCTTATAGGCCTAGAGCTTAATCAAGGCTTCTAGCCAACAGAGAATCATTGATTGATAGAAAGCACAAGTTTCATATCAGGGCATCAAAAATATCAATACATTTTTAAAGTTGAAACAGCTTGCTTAATTTGATAACAATGGTCAACATAAAGAGTCAAACCTTAAGAGAGAGGAGCTAATATGAGGCCCCATGACATAAATCATTTTCAGCATAAACTCAAAATACATGATATCTCAGAAAAGCTAACACCACACATATTTCATGCTCTAATGCCTCAGGCAACTTGAATCGATCAGAAGTCAGTTACTTGGGTCCGATGTCCTTGAGGCCACAAATCTGCTCTTCTCCCATGGCACTCATCACACTCACAATCATATCTTTACCCTCGGCAAATCCTTCGGTGATCTACAAAAGCATTGCAATATTAATAATTAACCATTCCAAGGATCTTTTAGATAAAATAAAGAGAGTAATACGCTAAAAATTATGAAAGTAGTCCGTAAGGATTACAGCTGCATCAAAAAAAAAAAAAAAAAAATTCTTATGCCATAAAATTGGATGATTTGCTTGTCATAGGAGTTGGAAAATATATGATTGTGCATTATATGATGCACATAAACACAATCATTCTACAAATCAATTCACAAGACACGGCACTTCAACATAACTTTTCAGCTCATTGTGCAGAGTAGATACCAATGAGCATAAACAATCACCAAAATGAGAGTACTAAAAATTTATGTGACAACTAGATGTTGTGGTTTCAGCAAACAATGAACACAGTAATGAGAAGGATTGGAATCATTACTGACATTCACTCATGAATGTAGAGCACAAGCTCCAGACCTTTTGAAAAATGAAGGACTAAAGCTTATAACAAAAATATAATCATTGGCTTATTTTGATTTTTGAGAAACAAAAAGCAGGGACAACTCAAATTTAAACAAGCAGTAGCATACAAAGTACTGTATGCATACCTGTTTATGCAGAGCCTCATCAGTTGGAAGCTTCAAGTCATCCTTAGTGTCTCCATTATCAGTCAGCAGGCTAACCTGAAATGCTTTTGCATCAGACAATAGACAACCAAAAAATGAAGGCTCAAGCCAAACGAAACTACGGAGTACATTCAAATCTATTATACTTACAAAACCATCCTCAGTTATGTCAAGGAGCTGGTAATCGGTACGAGAGACATGGGGAACCTGCAAACCAATGATAAGACCCATTAAGTTTAAAGAAAGAGCAAAATGAAGGAGATACAGGGGATGAAAAAAAAAAAGTAAAATAGAACTGTACATCACAATTGTGGGAGGAAGGAACAATATCCTCAAGCTTCTTTCCAGTGAAGATGTCGATACCAACAAAGTTACATTTAGCATGCCCATGCTTGCCAGTCTTAGAAGTGGAAACTTCAACAACCTGCCATATCCAAACAATAATTGTGGTGAGAAAATTGATGTCCGTAAGCATCCCGACTTCTTCAAGTGCTATTTACAGTAAAAACTTTTACATTGAAGTCACTGTCAATGATTCAAAAACTGCACTTGCCAACAAGACAGCTAAAGACACACTCGAACACAAGAATCTGAATATCTTTGCTAGCAACCATCAACAAATTTACTACAGCATGACAAGTCCCATTAAACAGTCTGAAAACAACTTTTCCTAACAATTTATTAAAAATTTACTACAGCGTGACATAGTAAACTTATAGAGAAAAAGTAAGACAAATTGATTCAAGCATAATTGAACCATCTCAAGACAGCAAACTTATGTACACAATCAACAGTACATTAGTAAACTTTTCAATCAAAAACTAAAGTATCAATATCATAAATTGCACAGAAATAAAATCCACTTTCTAGCTATTAGCTATTTCAATACACAAACAAAATAGTTCAGCTACAAGAACATCAGAAAATACCCAATTCAGATCTACATATGATAGGCCAAGTAAATTACAGTAACGGACATAGTCAGATGACGTTACAAATGAAACTCTTGATAACTAAGACAGATTACATGCACTTCATTAGCAATTAGTTCAATCAGCAATGAATATGTTACTCCGACTCTTCATTTCACCTCACTGGTGTAATATTTTACCACGAGTCACTAAATAAGAAACTAATATAGCACACTTTAGTACTACTACATCTCCAAAAATTCAACATATCCCAACATAATCGTTCAAATGACTATACATCACATTCATCAGAATGCATCCAACAACAAAGGATATCTTACTAGCTATTAATTTATGCAACTTCATGTAAACGGCAACATTACGAACTCATATAATATCAAAATTAATCAATAAAAAAAATCAATGCAAAGTTATCTGACTAAACCCTAGAATGTAAGCTAAAAACGCAGTCAAATGATTCAATTTCATGTTAATACCATTATATATTAAAAGTCAACAAAACAACATCAATAACAACAAAGTATTGAAAACAATCGTCATTATCATTAATGCAAAACAACTTCACTAAAAACCCTAAAATCCGACCTAAAAAACGCACCCAAATCATTCAATCTGTCATGGTGATGCTACTGTTGAATCAATCGAAACCCCTAAAAAATCCGATTCAAAAAAACAAAAAAGGGGGTTATTGGATTACCTTGCAAGGGCGATTCTTGATGTTGATGTAGCCACCCTTGCGAATAGTACCAGCTTGCTGAGGGAAAGTTTTGGAGGCACCGGAATCAGCCTTGGATTCGAACTGGTGTTCTTCGTCAGACATAGCTAGTTCTTCTCCTTGTTCTTCGAAGAAACAAAAATGGAGGAGAGAGAAAATGGAGAAAACCTAGCAAAGGAAGAAAGAGGTGTGCGTGAAATGAAAGCTGAGAGAGAGAGAAAGAGAGAGAGTGTGTTTAAATAGGGATTCGCGTCAGTGTGCGGTGATTCTGGCGAAGTGGCGATGTAGTACGCTACTTGGAGTACTACGCTCATCTATTTTATTCGATAAGAACGAATTGAATTTGGCATTTAACTTTTGTAAACCCCTTTTTCCTCTTAAGGAAAATTTGGAATTTGATTATTCTTTTTTTGAGTTGAAAAATATAACAAAGTAGGTCAAAGATGCAAAAAGAATTTGATTACAAGTTGATATTCCCACTATTTCATGTGAATGAGAAAGGTTTATTTTGATTTTGGATAATATGTTTGAATATGATATACGTGTGTTTGATTGACCTTTCACAAATGAACTAAAACTAAAAATGAATAGAGTTTGATTAAAGTTATTCATCGAAAGTTGTGCAGTAAATTGAAAGAAAGTTGTGTGAACATTAGTACAGTAAATTGAAAGAAAGTTGTGCAGTACTCCGTAGACAGTTTGCTACATTACATTAAAGGTGGCTCTGGCCGAGCCTAAAATTGTAAGACTATGGCCCAAGCACGGCATGAGCCCATGGGCCTTGTGGGATGTCAGGTGTCCGCTCGCGTGCTCATCCATGACAAAGCACACGAGCTATCATCAACAAATCCAATAGTTCTTACGCTTTGTAAATTATGACATAACCTACATATGCAATGAAAAATAAAAGATGACAATTGATCATATAACTCATTTTGTTATTCCTCGTTGTGCATACTAGTAGTTAGTTCAATGTTTCTTTTATGTGTTGGGATATTTTGGTGTAACTTAGTGTTTATCTTAAACTTTGTATTATGATGCGATGTCTATTTTTTTTTTTTTTCACCCAGTTCATCCTTTTGGCTATTACGGGTTCGGAGATCAGTTCTGGGTGGTTAGATTCCAGTCCCCTCCTAATTGTTGTTGCGGGGGATCGAACACGCAATTCTCCCTACCGAGTGCAGTCCCAATCACCACTGCACCAACAGCCAATTGGTATGCGATGTCTAGTTGTACAATGTCTTTTCATGTTCTATTGTGTTTTAATTTTCTTTGTAGTAGTCTATGTATGTCCATAATAACATCATCTTCATTTTGTGTTAGAAAAAATTCAGTTGAATTATCAAAGGTAACACTACAAAATCACTTAATTCTAACAAAACTTTCAAAAGACGACCAATTACAAAGGAAAGGGAACCTTCTGCCTTGTAGAAGGTGTTGTTATGTATCGATTGAGGAATGACATCAACCAACAGCTAGCCTGTGATCTGCTCTCAATTAAGTTCAGTGTAACAGTGTGGAACCATTTATGCACGCCATCAACAACATTGCTAAACCAAGTAAGCAATTACCAGCTTATCAAGAGGGCAATACAAATTACAAAACTCAGTATCCACTAAAAACAGTCATTCCAAAATGATAGCCCAAAAAGGTTAATAGAAGTAAAGAGAAAAAAGATATCTTTCAACCAATTCGGAGAATACATCTTATATTTACAGAAAAGCAAGTTATCAAAATGACAAACCATCTGTAAGGACCCCTAATGCAGAAGCCACGAATTCTGGAGATCTAAGTTGGGGTCAAAAGTTGCCATCCCTGATACATGAAGCAACTAGTTACAGAGCTAACTTCTGTGAGCTCATGTCATTGGGTTTTCATTTGGGAGGTAGAAATCAAATCTGACATCAACAGAACCTGACGTGTCACCGTTATCTTTGTAATCAATATTCATTATTGATCCAGACTCATCGTCCTCCTGATACTCAGGCTTCACTCGCCTCACAGGCACAGTCACAGAACACACAGTCCCAAGATCAGAATCAGTTGAAACATCGAGCTGCACCTTCTCCTGAGAATCAATCTCCACATAATCTGACAATGCACTGACAATGCTCTTCACTATCTTCCGTTTAGCCTCATCACTAACAGCACATCGATCAGCAAACAAGATCATCTTTAACCTCTGCTTAGCAATCATTGCATTGGAGCTTCTCCTAGTTTTTGGTGGGGGGAAAATAATCTTCCAAGCTAAGTTTAAACGATCGAAGAAGCTCATATTAATAGCATTTAGTAAAAAAGTCTCGGCATCTTCACTGAAGGAGTTTACAGATGATTTATCATCTCCAGTGACCCCAAAAGTCAGATTGGACTGGCAGCGAAAATTGAAGTCATTAGACACACTGCTCAACTTTTTCGGTGCATAGTCAAAAATACTAAGCCCACCACTTGGGAAGCTAGAAATGTCTACCTGCATTGAAGAGAATAGAATTATGAATTAAGCTGCTGAGACTGGTAGTTTTAAATGGCTTGTTCTTTTTCAAGTACTCCAACAAAAGCCAGGTTTCACAATTTATTAGACAGTATCAATATTCATTATCAGTCCTGAGAAACATCACAGATTTAATTTAATAGTAGCATTTTACCATTACATGATATGACATACATCACTACTATCCAGCTCACACTGCAATCAGTACCTAGAGCAACAAGTAATGAAACTTATAATTACGCAATTTTCTCCTAGTAAACACAGATCATCTACACTTACATTGAGAAGTTACAGACTTATTGGAAACTTGCCCGCTTCCTAATTGGGCTGATTCAATTTGGAACAAGCTAAATTTTAGGCATGAAAAGAAAGAAAAAGAAAAGAGCAGAAAGAGAGGACTAGTCACTCATTCACACACCCACTTTTCTATAAAAGTGGGCAAAATTTAGGATAGATCAGCAAACTCTTTAAGGAACAAAACGCAAGAGAAGTACCAGTCAGCAAAACGCTTAGAAAAATCAAGGCAAAACGGCAGATGTTTGGCTTACAACAAAGAGAAGCTGAAAGTCATATACCTACAGCATCTTTCTGAGTACATTCTAAGATTAATGATACACTGTCTCAAATTCATCAATAGACTGTTGACCACATTGCCCAGCTAAGAAAAAAACATATAACACCCCTTTGTTGAGTTTTCTTACCCTGGAATCAAGATCTCCCAGAATAATTATCCAAGTCCACTAACCTCTAATATTAGTCCATTCCGGATTGAACTTATCAACACTTACTTAAATATTTCCCGACATTGTACTCTTTACCTTCGCTAACAAACCCTATCTGAGATGAAACTTACTACAAGTATAATACTTTCATGATAACTTCTGTTCTTGTTCTTTATTCCCAAAATCCCATAATCATCTACCACCGCAATCATTGCGTAACATTCATATTAGGCAGCTTATCACTCCATCAATAGCTACTTATCCAAAAATTAAATGCTTCATCCCCCAACACCACCTTCTACAAAGGCAATCGAATGAACTGAAACCAACAAAAACCCAAAATATATCATAGTGAATCGTAGTAAAGATGTTGATGAATCAGCATGATTCCCTCTCTCCATCCTCCTTTGCCACAAAACCCTCAAATCAAACTCCCTTTACTTAATACCAAAAGCTCAACCTTCAACCAAAACATTCTCAAAAACCCAAAATTATACCTAAATCACAAACACAACCTCAATACAGAATGCAAATCAAAAGCTAATACAAACCCTAATCAATTTCCAAATAACAAGCAAAACTCATAAGATCAATAAACCATGAAAATTCCAAAAACCCATCAAAATTCGCAAATTACAGTAACAGATGAAAACAAACCCATGCAAAAAATGATAAATAACGAAGAAAATTGCCAAGAAACATAACAAAAAGTGCGTAAAATTGGAGGGAAAAGGGGGAAATGACCTTAGAAGAAGAATGCGAGGAGGAACGAAAAGGAAGATGATGAGTTCGATGAGGTGCTAGTGTTGCGAAAACTCTCAGATCCCCTGAAATCGCCATCTAATTTTCTCTCTCTTCAGGAATTCACCGGCGCATTCACTCTTCTAGCTTGCTTGTTGAACGTTAAAGCTGAGACTTTGCAGAAAGAGAGGTTTTTGGCTTCTTCGCTTATTACGACAGCGTTTTGGGGTTGTAGACAAGCACGAGACCTACCATTAGGAGAAGTTTTATTGTATGGTCTACACTCTACAAACACAACAATATGATCAATGTTTCATTCCTAACAACAACAATTAGTTACCGTCCTTAGCTCCTTACCGACACTGATTAAGGTTTAGTGTTCTTGATTGGTAATTTAGCTCGTAAATTTGAGTCTATCCTTTATAAAATTGAATCCTTCCAATAATTAGTGTTACCGACTCATTGTTGAGCGTGTTCATTACGTGTTACTTCAAAGTGCAAACATTGACTATAAATTTTATTTTATTCTTATCGAAATGATGGGTCAACCAAATTAGAGAAATTCAATTTTACGCACATCAAAATTTATTATATACATTTACCTCACTATATACTTAATCTTAACTAAATTCACATTCGAACAAACTTAATTCAAGTGAAAAGACAACTTCATGGTTCCCTATCATTTATTATATTACTAGTGTGTTGCTAAAACTATTAGGAAAACTATTTTACCTAGGTATTATCAAACATTGACTAACTATATGAAATGGGAAAATATAGATGAAAGATTGAGCATTAAGATTGCAAACTCAAGTTAGAGAAGAGAAATCACACTGCCCAGAAAAATGTAGAGAAAGCAACAAGCACAATGTCATCAATAGCTCCAATCCCATGAGGATAAATAAATAGAGACAATTTACATTTGTCATTGACGAACTCAAGGGAGAGAATGTAAGAAGCAAATTGTTGTTTATGGAGAGACAAATCATTACCTAAAAGACCAAATTAAATTAAAGCGTCATATAAAGAAGAAATAACCTAATTTATCATTATTCACATGATGAGAGAAAACAAATCATTACAAAATGATAAGGTGCTGAACCAATAAAACCAACACAGTTTAAACTCTCTAAAATTGGCCATACAATCCATCACATTATTCAATTCCTTATATCCATTTATCGAATTTGAAGGGGGCCGCTCCAGTTTCTCAAAATGAGAAACAAAATTTGATTCTCAGGCAAAATAATAAATTTCAAGTAGCAATTTATGGCAAAATCGCTACTTGAACAGTTAAAAAAATTGCATTTATTTACGACTTTGCCATTGAGAAGCATAGTGTCATGTTGAGAAATTTAGAATTTCTCAACTGAAGGCACTTATTAATCTAAATGTTCCCACAAAATCGGCCATTAAACCGGTAACTAATTAATTTTTTTGCAAGGCGGTTCGTTACTCTGATTTAATTACTTGTGCTCGTATCTATAAAGTCACAAGTCAATCTGAGCACTTCAGTTGTATCGTATGTATTGTATACCTGTAGATTTTCCCACAAAAATGCCTAAACCCTGAGAAATTTCTGTTATAACAATAGGAACTGTAGCATTGACACCCAAAAACCCAACTCAAAAGGTTAGTTGAAGTTGATGAACAAAACCAGCATCAACAATTCAACACTATCACAGTGAATGGGGAGATGGGCAGTATACCGTCTCCTCCGGCGCCTAACCTCACTTTCAACCCCATCTTCCATTCCACCACCTTTCTCCTCTATCCGCTTCTCTCTTCTGTGTTCTTCTTCAGATCCCAATACCCTTCTATTTCAGCGTTTTAGGCCATTTTCTTCTGCCCCTTCTTCATCTTATGCTGCTCTTGCTCATGATTATGATTATGGCTTTCGTGATTTTTCCCAGAATTATGTAGATGATAATCAAGATTTTCAATCTCACCCAGATGGGGTTGAAGAAGGAGATGTTTCTAAGATTCCTGTTAAAGCTTTCTTTCTTTCTACTAGGTTTGCCCCCCTTTTTTTTTTTCCTTTTAAAGTTTTTTTTTTTTTTTTTTTTTTTTTTTTTTCCTTTTGGTACTAATGTAGGTTTTATCTATTTATTTTGATTTGTGGCCTTTTATTGGGTTTATTTGATATAGGTTTTGTGAAACATTATTGTATATTGTCCTGTAATATACTATAAGCTTTGGAGATTTTGAATCTAGAATAAGACTAATTTAATTAGCTGCTGGTAATTTCCACAGTGAGTTTTTTTTTTGGGGATTTTGTATAAGGTAAAATGATTGTGAAACTAGTTGCTGGTTGGACATTTTGCTTATTAACATTATCATGTTGTGTGCATTGTACCTCTGAAGACGCGGTCAATATCGCTGCTGTTGTTAATTGATAAGTCATTAACATGTTGAATTTGAGTATTGAGGATTGTTTGTTAATGGTTGGGAGCTCTTGTTGCTCCTTTTTCAGCTTGCTTCTTATAGGTATTTTAATTTGTAAAGTAAAAACTAACGTTTAGGAAACTTAGAATTTCTTTTCTTTGGTAATGTATCTGTTTTTAGTTTATTAATGGAGATAAATGTAGGATCCATATTTGATAGCAATACGAATACATGATGCAAAATAAAAAATTGTAATAAAAGTAGCAATAATGGTTCTTAGTTTGCCCAGAATTTTGATCTGTTGAGAGAGGAGGACATGCTGTTTGCATTGGGATGTAATTTCATTAAAGAGGAGAAAAATAGTTTATTGAAAGTTGTGCTACTCGTTGATAAAAGACGATATCCCTCTTTAATACTTTGTATGTTTTTTTATTCACTTCCACCCTGGTGTGTACTATTTGGAGCTTGATTTCCTCATGCTCACCTTGGCTTATTGCTATGTTCTGTGGTTTTTATCATTTAGCCTCTCAGAATCATGGTTTTGGCAGTATCAATTTGAGGAGCATGCAAGCAGAGAATTCAGGGAATGTCGTTCCACCAACTTCTCGCACCTCAAATTATGTGACGCTCAGATTTTTTGATATACCTTCAGAAATGATTGTAAGTCAACTTATGAAATATCTCCTTTTTTTTTCTTTCCCTCTTTTTTGGGGTTTCATTCTCCTGGAGCTGGCTTCTGTCTTTGTTTGTTCAAAGTAAATGCTATATGCTCTTCTTTGTGTATTTAGTGGTCATAACATCTTGATCAATTGAGCTATTTATACAAAGTGTTCTTCTATTTTTTATGAATCCGTCTTTGTTTAATATATTTGTTTGGAGATGGATTTCCCTTGTTATCTAGTCCACAGCTGTAGTGTTTCTAAGTCTGGCTAATAATCATGGTCTGATCTGAATAAATAATACGATCCTGTACATTATATCAGCACAATTAACCCTAGAAAATGTATTTTGTCTCTACTGCCTTTTACATTCCAATTCATTGCATTGGGCTTAACCACATGCAACTAAATCTGTCGCATCTCTTTGTCCGACTAAAAGAATGATGATTGAAGTCCCCTTTATTTTTTCTTGTGTATACAATGAGAGAATTAGTTAGAGATGACAAAAGCTAGCATCCTGCTGGAGATGGTAAACAAAGGAACAAAAAGCAATGTATCCTTAGGACGTTTAATTTTATGATTTGCTCAGATGTTGAATTGAGCTTCTAATGACCTTTTTTTGTCAGCTGAACTGTTAGCAAACTATTGGTGTCCCAGTTTGGTTGTTTATTTTAGAATGTTAAACAAAATATACTGTTAGCATCCACATAGTTGTAAGTTGGGCGACTTGCTCTAGTGAAAATTACATTTAACATATTCACATTACTCACGTCAGTTGGATCCAGTGAAATTATTTGTCAATGGAATGTGTCCTGATGGTAATTGCTTTGTGCTTTGTTAAATCTAGTCATGTTACTAGTTGCTTTGCCAAATATATGTTTATTTATGCTGGGCCTTTGATTCAGGGCATGAATGTAGAGAACAATGTGATTTGCAACCGCTACATGGTGGTTTTTCAATATGGATCTGCTGTCCTCTTCAATGTTGAGGATCATGAAGTTGATTTCTTCTTGAACATTGCTCGAAGACATGCTTCTGGATTGCTTTCAGAAATGAAGAAAGATGGTAATTTCTTTTGAGAAATTCATAGTTGTAGTCTTGTAGAACATCATGAACGAAATATAAGCAGTGGTCCTGTGGAGTATGGACTTTGATATATCAGCACATTTCTAAAAGAAATTTTAGTTTGGGTAAGTTACAGTGATTAACTATTGGTATGAGGGTTAGGTTTTCCAAAATTCATGAAGTTTTCCTACCTAATTGAAGTTTATGTAGTAACTAAAAAGTGGGACTAGTCTTGTTTAAGGGAATGGATGGATGTTGGAGCTGAAAATAAATTTAAGTTTGAATCTTTCTCTGGATTAGATATAGAGGGTGCACGTAGGATTGTGTGGGGCATTTCATTGTAAGGGCTTGAGAAAATTCTGATATCAGCATATCACGCTAATTTTTTTTATTATACTAATTTCGATCCAAACACAAATCATTAAAGTGAGTTCTGAATTTAATTATCTCTAAGTTGGGTTGGGTTGGGTTGGGTTGGATATCTTTGGGCTGGTATTACGCGCTATAAGAATTAAAAATAACAATAATAACCCGATTTGTGTTGTTAATACGTAGTAGTTTTTATTGAAGTGGGTTCAGATTCGCACATATGTATCATTGATATTTTTTTTTAATTTTTTTTTTAATGAGTGTATCCAATTGCAGCTTCCAATAGGGAATTCAAAGGAATCATATAGGAAACAGTTCTTATTAAACAAAAATGGTGATACTGTTTCTATGTTTTGGAAGCTAAAAGTGATCCTTTCAATTTGTTCTAACCTTGGATATATTTTTTTCTTTGTTATCGACAAAAGTAAAAAAAATTTATACCTCCGAGCTTAGCTCAAATGTCGCATGCCTATTTGTAGTGTATAGAAAAGCCTAAGGTGATAGAGGACATAGGGGTGAAATATTATTTTAAGCTAACCAAGGAGTTTTCAAAGAGAACCATAGGAGGTGCATAACTTTTTTTTCTAAAAAATTGCGCCTCATGCCTTCTCTTTGTATCTAGGGTCCTAGGCTTTAGTATCTTTATCTCCTCAATCCATCATGCAATGAGAATGAGGATAATTATTCTTTTTGATTAATTGATGTCATAATCTATGACTTTCAGGAAACAAAATTTGAGAATTGAGGACATTATCCCAACAAGTACTTCTAGACTTTTCTAGTTCAGCTTGGTTTAGGTTTTCAATTAGTTATCATATTTCCTTTGTTCCTTTGAGTTCCTCTGTAGCTATAGTCTGTGCTTCTCTGTAGCAATTGAAACCTTGGAAGGGAGTTATTGGAAAGTGATTCCCTTTTATTTTATTTTTTACTATAAAGACGTGTTTATTGTAAATTTGGTGGACCCATGTGGTAAAAGGGGATAGAAGAGAGTTTTTTTTTTCCTGTCATGAATGGAATAAAGTGAAATAGGGAAGAACTCAAAGGAACAGACTTTATCAAAAACAAAGAAAGACCTTTAATAAACGAAGGTGGTAGAGCTAGAATCCATTATTTATTCAAGGGTTTGATCGAGTAGATTTCCATCTGAAGATTCCTTGTTTATTATTTGCATCTGTTGACAGAAATTGTCCCTTGTTTCGCTGTTACCTGTTTGTATAATTTTGCATTGATTTGATTGAGATTATGATGTAAATTCTGTTTTGGTGATGACATTGAAAATAATTGTCCTTATAAGCATTTATCATTTTGGCTTTCTTTTAAAATATACTTCAGCTGGTCAATTAGCAGCTCTATGTCCAATCTTTCATGAAGTAAATGTCATCAATTCAAGTCAAAGGAATTGTTTGGCCTCTGATTTACAGATAGTTGACCAGATGACTTAGATGAATATAATTGCCTATTTGCCTTTAGTAAGTTATATATCAATGGATATAGACTATGTTGATATTTTCCCAGAATCCCCAATGAAAGATATGTATTATTGAATCTATCATAATTACTACCTACATTCCACGAAATTGAAAAGGTAGGTTTCCTTTTAGGATCTTTGTTTTGCTTTGGTTTTGTCTTTAATTCTAATGGGCTTCTGTATTCTGCAGACTATATGGTAAAGGAGAAGGCTACACTTGCTGAAGATATGCAGGGTGGTGCTGACTATATAGTTCTTAGACATCTTGACACTGATGGTATACGCATTATTGGAAGCGTGCTTGGTCAAAGCATTGCTTTAGACTATTATGTCTCTCAGGTGATTCTTCTATCTTTGCTATGCATACAGCTGTACATCCATACATATAAATAGTACTTCTCATTAACCCCCCACCTAGCAAAAATCCCTTTTGTACTATGCACTTGGCCATTTGTATGTTGTCATTTCTATGAGACACTGTTGTTTCAGTGAGATTTAACCTGGATTCTTAAAGAATTCAAACGGAACATATTGATTTTTTCTTGCATATTTCAGGTTGATGATATGGTCGAAGAATTTGCAGATATAAATCGTGCAATGGAGAAGACTGGAACATTTACAATGCGTAGAAAGAAGCTCTTTCAACTAGTTGGCAAAGCAAATTCAAATCTTGCTGATATCATCCTCAAAGTTGGTCTTTTTGATAGGTTTATTCTCAACTTATATTTTCTTACATTTGTATGACACGTTAAATTGTGGGTATGCTATGAGTATGCTGCAATTTTAGCGGTTAAATGTCTAAATTTTATTTTAACTGGACAGATTAATTAATGGACAAGCCATTAGAATCATTTAGTTTGTTCGTCACTCTTTTAGTTTGACCACACGACTGTTTGGCTGTTTGGTGGTGGAAGATATTAGTAATATGTGACAAAGATTTCAACCTCTCAGCTTTCTGTCTTTACTTAAATTATTGCCATAGTAAATTCAATGCTAGTTGAAAGCTAGAAGGCCTAACATGTGGTTGGGAACATTCTTAACAAAATCTGAAAACATTAAGTTGCTACGTGTGTCAAATGGAAACTCTTTACAATAGAACTGAGGAAATAGACCTTTTGGTTTGGAACATTTGTGACAAAATTCATAACATCACCCTCCAACTAAATGGGTTGGATTCAAAATTTTAAGGGGAAGAACTCAGAGGAGGCTTGAGAATTTTTGTGCTTCACTTGAGTATGGATTCTACTTCTTCTGACTTTTATTGTAATGAATTTCGATCTGAAAGTGGGAGGATATTTTGCTAGGATATCTGAGCTTCCCTTATACAGTAGTCAACAATGAATGTACTCTGTACTTCGTAAGATAGCCTATCTTTATCAGTAAGGTGTCACTAGGGAAGCTTAAAATACTTGCATTGTGTTATGTCATCGAGGAGAAGTGTAAATTTGAATGGGTTTGTTGCAAATTACTGCCTCTAGTCAACATAGGTGGCTTTTTGGGTTGATTGGGCACTTTTCTACTATAATCAAAGAAAAGGTAAGCAGCAGTTGAGTTCCAATTATGGAAATGGAATTGATAGTAGAAATCCAAGGTTGGATTTCTAAAAAAAGATAGTATAAACAGGATTGTACAGAATTTTTTTTTGAGGCTATGATACAATGTTACTACTATGTTTGGACTGAGGGAGTATGTGAACATATTGCTAGCAATCATGTTCCTGAAACACTAGTCCAAAAAGTTATTTGCTGAACATTACAGTATGCTATATTTAACAGAAACCAGGAATGGTACAGAGAGAAAAGTAGATTGTAAAACAATGGTCATGGTCTACACCTTACTAGTGAATGTATGCCAAATTGCCAATAATTACCCAGATAAGTGAATACTCATTCTCAAATCCTCATTTATTTAGAATGAATCCTCAGTGGAATCGTCAGGAGGACCTGCTTTAAGCTTTGTAAGAAAAACTAAACTACTAATTCTTACAGCTTTTAGCACTGTAGAATACAAGATTATTTTGTCTTTTAAAATAATAGAATCAAATGTCTAGGCATTGTATCCACTGTTAAAAGCTTTATAGAGTTTTTGCTTGTCCTGGACAAGATTGTATTGAAGTATAGCATGGATTTGTCCACTCAGATATGATTTTTGTCAAAAGGCTTCCATTTACACTATCAAACTGATTGTCGCCTACATTTAGTACATTTTTTTTATTCAGCTTATAAACCTGATGGAGCCATTCATTTTTGTTTCTGTTTTTATTTTTCTCAGATCAGAGATTGCTTGGAGAGAAGCGAAATATGCGGAAATAAATGAGTATCTTCGAGAAGAATACGAGGTCACTCAGCGTTTTGGAAATCTTGACATCAAGTTGAAATTTGTTGAGGTATGATGTTTACTTCCTTCATCAGGGAAACAGTTGGGTTAACAAATCAGCATAACTTGTACTGGACACTTGACAGTGGACATCAACTACAATTAGTTTTGAGATACAAGCGATTCATATAATTTACGTAGTAGGCAGTGTATTAAACCCCAAACTAGTCACAATTTTTTGGCTGGGTAACAAAATATTGATCAGACTTTAACCAATCATACTAGCTACATGTTGATAGAACTATTGTTTTGAATGGTTTGTTAAAAGTTTCTGCTTTCTTTCTGGGATATTGCAGCACAACATCCATTTCCTTCAAGAAGTCCTGCAGAATAGGAGATCAGATCTATTGGAGTGGTGCATCATCATCTTGTTGAGTATCGAGAACGTAATTTCAATTTGTGAGATTATACGGGATTCAGCAGCTGGTTCTGTGTGACCTGCTAGCAGAAGATAAATTTTTTGGCAGCAAGCAATTTTGCGAGGTTTTTAACTTGATTCTTTATTTGTTGTATCCAACTATACCAAAGGAAACCCTACATGTTTCAACCACTGGTGCAATATCAGTGAATCAGGATTATTATTAATAGATTATTCAATTGCTATTGTACATATGAATTAACAATCTCCTTTCTGATCGCCAGTCTTGTTGATTTTTCAGTTGAAAATTGAGACTATGATTTTCTCTGCTAGACTAGATGCAGAAGATCTCTGTTGCTGGATTAGTAAACTTGAGATTTGCTCGGGTTTCAGTAAAATTCACAAATTTAATAGAGTACGCCATTTTGGATGAAATTATATTACTTTTAAGCTCTATCTTATTTTAAAATTTCTTTTCAGCGGAAAACAGATTTGCAAAGAGAAACTAGGAAACTTATGTATGCAAGTAATGCAACTTGCATTTATTTTTCTGTCACAAGTACTCGCAAGTAAGGATAATATGGAAAAGTCTACCTTGTTTGTTGCCCTTAAATGGTGCTCACAGTAGCACATGCTTTGACATTGCATCCAGCAAGCTCTCCAATTTGAAGTTTCACTGATGTTATCCAGGATGCGATGATTTTCCTCTCAAGAGGATGGTCTCCTAGACTCGTAGTTGCATTTTTATCTTAACTTAATTTTTAAACAAAGGGAAAAGAAAAAGATTGTGATGAGGAATCCAGAACGAGATCATATAATTATATATATTGTGAAGCACCAACATTTCGTACAACGTGGGGATTGAAGAATTAGAGAATTATAGACCAAAATCATTTGCTTGGCCATACAATGGTTAAATTTAAGGAACCTACAAGCTTAAAAATCTTCTACTCTACGAGCAAAATGAGGGGAATCATAACCATCTCTAGGTCTAGATTTCTTCACTCCTGCGGTTATCCATACTTTGTCAGATTTGGTGCCCTCAACACCCATACTTACAACCTTAACCCACACCAAGACCTTGGTCTTCATTCCCTCAATGCCCATCATCTTGCCTCTCAGCAGGATAGCTTTGACTCGTGTAGCATACCTCATAACTGTTGAGTCCTTAAAACTCACCTCGCAAGGGTGGGGTAAGTATACTATTAGCTTTGCTTTTGTCTCGTCAAACTCAAAGCAAGTTATGTTCTCGGGAAAGAGGCCTGTTGGTAGGTTGTACTCTCTCAAAAGTTCAGGTAAGCTTTTTGAAGGCTTTCCTGCATAAACAAGGCAAAGGCCATATTAATGAGATAATAAATCAAACAGTGTCGATGAGTTAATTGTATCAAGAGCAAAGAGCATTTATGCATTACCCTTTAATTTGTTGAATAACCATTTTGCCTTCTCTTCTACTACATTTGAGACTGCCTGCAGAAACACAAAATTTCCAAACAGCATCAGTTAGCAGCATGAGAATGCTGAATTTTAATTAGACCATGCACAACAGGCATAAAAAGGAAAAAGCCATTAAAAGCAAAATGGATTATACTAAAATTTCCCCTTTTGACCAGTTCAGTAGGAGACTAGGAGGTGATGCATGGTGGTGATGGAAATGAATTTATATGTAAATCTATAAGGAGAGTCTTGTGCGTTGTGCCCATGCTATTGTAGATGGTAGTTCACCCCACCCAAAGTATCTCTTGTTCTTCATAAATTTTTTGTCATATCCATTGAGTGGTATACTGATAATGAAAATTTATCACCTAGAAAAAAATCTAGCCTCATACAGGGTGGTATAAATGTGTATCAAGTCTAATGAAAGCAGCTGTAGTTCTAATCAATCAGACTGATACAAACTACAAAGCTAATGTTTCTCTTGCTTCATTCAATCAACCTTGAATGATCAACAACACCATGACACAGTTGACCTACGTAACTTAAAAGGGCCATTTTACAATGTGCCATGGAAATTTAGAAATGTAAGACATGAGGATTAACAACCTTGTCCGTTGTAAACATTCATTTTCTGTTTCATTGCTGTGGGACACGTATCTTATGCAGGCTTGAAACACCATGACAAGTTAACAGAAGATGGTAGGCAATAGCTTTCATAAAAATTTCAAAATATACTGGTCCTACCCTGACTAGAATCAAGCTGAAATCTACCATTGTTTCAATTAAAGAGTTTAGGGTATTTTTCTAGGAGGAGAAAAAATCAGAATACAAAACATGTTTGGCATAGAGATTTTAGATGGAGGAAATGGATTAACCAATTGTTGGTTGGTATGAGAGGTATAGAAACACACTACATTTCGTAAGGGTAACCATAACCACCCTTTTGTTACCCTTCCCAATCCCGTGGATACCAAAAAGTTTCCCTCCTTAATCCCAAATTTGATACAAGGTATTCAATTTGTTATGTATACCAATTACCAAACAGCATATAATGGTAAATTACTAAATTGGTATCACTTAACATACTCTTTTTCCTTCTTCTTTTCCTATATTCATGATAAACATGCACTAAAATCAGTAGAAATTAATCAAAACTTCAGACCCGGCCTAAGTTCCTCTGATTTGCCAGTGTTTTTTTGAGCAAACACCATTTTGCATAAAAGTTAAATTTCATTTCTCAACATTTTAAAGCGTATTGAGAACTTCAAAGGGCAACAATGTAGACGAGACTCGATCCTTGGTCTTGGGTACCACCCGAATCACTTACCCACTTGGCCCCAAAGGTGAAAGAAGCCATTACATTGCTTAAAAAATACAACAAAATTCCCTTCAATTTCTTTTCTAATTTGAATATACATCTCCCACAGATCAAAGACTAAACCAAAATTAGCAATAATTACATAAAATGCAGTAAAAATTACTAAACTTTAATTCCATAATCACACATAATCTACGACAGATCTTACAAAACTAAAAACAAAATGCATCACAATTGCACAAATAATCAAGTAGTCAACCCACGAAATGCAATGTGTATTAAATAATTGAAGAACATAAAATTGAAGAGAGAAAGATGAAGGAACAAACAGAGAGTTCTTGGGAGATGTCAACGAGTTCTTCCTTGGCCTTCTTAGTAATCCAGAAGCTTCCTGCGGCAGACTTAATGCTCCCTACTTTGGTAAGTGCTTTCTCCATTGTTTCTCTCTCTAGAAATGGTTGAGGAACAAGAATCTTAGAGAGAGAAAGTAGAGTGAGAGTGTGGAGAGAGAAGTGAAGAAAAGCCTCTGGCTTGCCGGCTACTTGTTGTTTTGAAGAGAGAGGAAGACGAGTTGCACTGGAGAGTGTGGGGACAAACATTCCCAGCTGTTGCACACATTCCATGTTCCAAAATTTAAAAAATAAAGGAAGATGATATAATTTCTAAAAAGCTAATACAATCCGTTTCAACTTGTATTTACTTGACGTCTTGATCCATAGCCTTTAGCATAGAGGTGGTCTAAATTTAGGTCAGGGTGGACTTTAACATCAAATCTTATGTCCAAACCTGTAAAAAGTGACGGTTTTGTCGGGTCAAAATGGAATTTTTGGGCTTTAAACTAGCCGAGTTTAGATTTTTAACTTAAAAATTATTTTTTGCTTGCTTAGACCCGCCATTTTTTCGAATCGGATCAGTCCGGGCTAGCAGGTCGGGTCATAGATCATCTCTACGTTGGCATAATATCTAAGGAGAGGAGAGAAATTGTGGTTTGTCGCTGTTATTGTACATGATTTACTTTATTACCCCTACCCCCAAAGGTTGTCCTATATGCACTTTTAAGAGTGTAATTTAGAGAAGTTGTCTCCCAAAACCTTACCAAATATAGTATGAGTGAAGTATTATGCCATTTTCATTTTAAAAATGTTAATCATACACGTAAATAGCAACGGGGAAATTTACACTTTAAGGGAAAAAAAAAAACCCACACACAATCAAACTTATGACTCAAGAACCTAATACGCACAATCAACTTAGAATTGAAAGAAAAAACGTAAGTCTCTTCCCTGTGTTGTCTTTGATGTTTTCATTTATTATGTTGAGGTGTTGACTGTTGAGCCATTGATCAAACTTGACAAGAATGACAACATAAAATTAAATCGATTGTGTCATGAGAGTTTTACATACTTACAATATATGCTAGTATGCTACATATATTGCAAAATTCGAATTAAATAGAAAAATTATTGACAATAATTGGTACTCCGTATAGTCTAAGGTACTCCCCAATCGCTGAGATTAATTGTTTCCTACAATTGTGTTCATTTTCAACAATTTGATGGTTTTTTTCCTCTTAACTTTGCTTTGCATTGCACTTTTGAAAAAAGTGAGAAAAAGAGGAGGCGAAGTAACTTTTTAAAAGAGAGGATTTAATCAGCAAGGCATGATTCCAATTAGCTGCTTCAAAACACAAATTTCATCATCACGCAATCTCACATTGGCTACATATGATGTGCCAATAATAATACAGAATCACAGGTAAGCATTTTTCAACATGGTGGACTCACCTTATTATAAGCCCCTTGGACCTTGGTTTTAGATGCATTTTTTTCATCATAAAAATGATACTCGTACTCCTTTTATTTATTTATTTATTTTTAATATTATTACAAGTATTATTAATGACGAATTAAAATACGAAGGGAGTATAATCCCTCCTTCTCACATAAATAGTCACGCTGACTTAGTCTTACACAATGATGGATTTTAAATAATATACTAAAATTAAGGATGTAATAAAATGATTTTACATTTATATTTGCATGGTCTACAACACAAATTCACCCATCTTTGATCAAATTGAACTTCACACTTGCTTTTCTATGGTCAGTTGACCAATTTTGATAATTAAAAGTTTTTTTAATTAAGCATCAATAAAAATCATTAACATCCAATACTTCTAAAGGTTCAAATTAAAATAATTCTAATTTGTGATAATTTGTAGTAGCACTACACATATTAAAGAAATATAATCAACATTGATGAAATTTGACCTTGAAAAAAAAAACACATGAAATGAATGGGTGGTAAATGGTGAATGTTTGCATCATTAAAATCTCCCATGACAAAATTTTTATAAATTTGTAGCTAAAAATTCAATGGAAGAGAAGAACTTGTGTACTATAAATTGGCTTATGATCAGTTAATAATTTAGTCTAGCCACTTTAGTCTATAAACCTCTTAGCTTTTGAATATGCAATTTCTATATACGTCCTAAACCTATTTAAATCCAACGTAACATCTTGCCCCTTGAGGTATATGCTATCTAAAGCAGACCAATTTCCTCTAATAATTAAATTCGGATTTGTTACAATTGTATGATTTAACCCATATTTCTCAGCCAAGCTACTCTCCTTAGCCCTTATCATGTATTCTACATACTCAAATTTCAAACTATTTGCCAAATTCTTGAAGTATGAATCCGCCAACCACTCGTTGCCAAGTGGCACGATCTGGATGAGCACCGATCCCGGTCGAAGGAAGAGTGAGTGTGTTAGGGCAGCACCATGCACTCCTATCATTCCATGACTTCCGTTGATGAGTCTATATGCATCACACAAATATGTAAATTTTGTTGGTTGAAATAATACAACATCAAATCCTGCCTTGTCCGCGGCCTTAATTATTTCGTGTTGGTTCAAAATTACGCGACCCACTTTTCCTGCACGGCTCATAAACACAAGCCTAGGCTTGCCCTCCTTCAAAGGGGGTGGTGGTGTAGCATGACATTTGCTATAAGCAATCTCTAGCAAGGAACGAAACTCGAGAAATGATGACTTATGGAACGGGTGATCATTAGGTAGTATGGTCATCGGACCATGTGATATGAGTCCTACTGCGGCGGAGGGGAAGCAATGAGTGGATGTTTGGTTGGCAAGGTTCACAATACCATGTTTTGTGAAGGCTCTTAATAAGACCTCATACTTGCTATACCACCAATTGGTAAAATCCGCGATAACAAGAGTGACATCTTGGTCAGGGAAAAGGGTGCTGATGGTTACATAGAGAGGTATAATACCGTCGTTAAAATCATGGAAGAAGTTACCGGTATAACCACTAACACTGAATACTAAGGCCGGGGATTCATGATAGATCTCACAAGGTTTATCAATTGACGAAGTTGTAAGAGTAATTTCACTTACTAGTGACATGGTGAAATTCTCCCATTTTCGAGGGTATGGACGAACTTTCTCCATTATTGTAGGCTTAGTAGTTGAGTTTTGGGAGTGTTGTGATCCAATGCTGTAAAATGTTGTTGAATTAGAGTCTAGTATGGTTGGACGGTTGAGGAAACACCAATCATAGTTGTCATGGGTTCGGTCACATATGATAGGTTCACCTTGTAGTGATTGGATTAATGCCCATGAGCTTGGCAATGAACCGTTGCTTGTTTTTGATGCCAATGCCTCCTTCCCTAGAGTTGGAAAAAAAATGAAAATGAATCAATATCGATCAACAAGCTAAGTTATTAGGAGTTATGGAGTATCAACAAGTTTATATGCGTCACACAATTATGTAAATAACACATGATGAATGGCTGATAGTACGTGACCTAATAATAACAGATAATAGCTTAATATTTCTAATAATTACTCTGATTTAAATAGGATCTTATTTGAATATTAAATTTAGTCAACCCAACCCAAATTTAGCCAAACTAAAAAATAGCATATGAATTGAAATTGACTCAATATTGAATCAATTTTATTCTAATAATCAAACTGAGGCGAACCGAAATCAACCTGACCCAAGTCAATCATTCCAAAAATTAACCTAGTCAAACCTATTTAGAACCTAATACAAATTTTTCCAAACCGAATATGAATTGATCTGAAGATGACTTAACAGATCTTGACTCAAAATTAACCCAACTCGAATGGATGAGGGTTAAAAGGGTAACCATGATCTGAACTAGCCCAACTTATCATGAGTCGAATCAGATTCAATCCGATCACCTGAATTGTTACCCTTCAATAAGTAATGATTCAATAAGCTGCCACTTTGTAATTAATCACTTGCGCACATGGCACATTATATGCACACATTATATATTGCAATTGAGGTTAGAGATGTTGTGCACACTGCAATCACGATCTTTTGCATATTGTAAACGACACACCAATTGAGCTGTGCCGCCTGTCAGAATCATTTTCTAAATTAAATTGTCAGGATATTAAGGAGTAAATAAAGGCGAACTCTCGGAAGAATTTTTGTATATTGACAAATTAATTAATTGTCCAGCTTCGCTTTCCTAGTCAAATTTTTTGGCTAAGGAGAGTGACTAAATTAACTAATGACCATGTTCTCCAAACTCTAACTTCTACATCATGGCATACAATACGAAACTATATTGGATAATGTACCGATAGAAGTAGAATAATACGAGTACGGATTATCTCTTTCGTTAAATAAAAGTCGCATTTAATTTCTACATCAGTGTTTTTTTTGGTAATAATTAGTTAGCAATACATGGTCAATTAATCTTTGAACTTATATTGAACTTTATTGATGTATGTTTGTAGACAATACTTCAATTTTGTAAACTTTTATTGGTTGTTTAATTTATTTTTTCGGAAATTCACTTAATTATAAGTGGAGCAAAACAAAGTCTTACTAGATTTTCTAAACAAAATAAAAGTAAATTGACTTCAATCTCATTGTATTTTTTGACACAGACTTCAATCTCATTGTAGTGAACATTATTCTAACAAAGAAGATCTTCTATGCCATTTCTTGTACATAAATTGAAAACGAAAACTTGAAATTAAAGCTTTTTTTTTTTTATCTTGTAGTCATTGTAGCCATTTCAAAATAATTGTAGTCATTGTAAGTTTTGGTACATACCTTGGTTTGTTGGTGAGGTAATTCTAAATATGAGCAATAGAGAAATTTGGACGGCAACAACTAACATGAAGGCAAAACATAGTTTCTCTGTCCCTCGTGTTTGCTTCATTTATACCGATGGATTCACAATTCTGAAAGCAAAATTATCAAGCGGAAAATTTTCAACTTTTGAAGGGAAAAATGACGGATAAACAAGCTAATATTCTAGCTCATACATATTCAATGCCACAATAGTAATAAATAAGTAATACTCCGTAATATATTGATATTTAAATGACACACATACATACATACCTGATTAATCATCAAAAGTCAACATATGTTGCAAATTGAATGAAAGAAAACGTAAATGATGTAATTATATTTAATTTATATATGGTAATAAATCTGCTAGTGATATACCTTAAAAAAAAAAGGTAGGATTTGGATTCTAAAGATTTCTTTCCCTCTAAATTTACGATCGTGTGTAAGTGTGTTCATATCTAGTGTTTTCGAGATCAAGACTTTGATATTGTTGTTTTTGTTCACAACTAGTGTACAATAAAATAAAATATAAATAAAAAATAAAAAAGGTACCTAAAAATGCTACTACCAAGTTTATAATACATCATCTTCTTTATGCAAATTATTTAAAGCAAAGGATCATAGTATATCACAGTAAAATGCATTGGTAGCTTCAATTATAATACAAGCAATATAATTAAGTAAGATATACGAAGTATTACGTAGAAGTATATGTAGGAGAATTACCGAGTTTTTTTTATTTGTTGCAGAATTATTCATACACCTTTCGGTCGGACCTTATGATCAATTGATCACAAACAGAGAAGGCAATTTCGTTCGGAGAAAGCCAGCTAGTGCGTGCGCGCAAGCCGAAGGGAAGGGGACGGAGGCTAGGAGTGAAGAAGAATAGTTGTGGCCGTGTTTAAGGGATCTCTGAAATTTTATATGGATATAAATGTTCATAAACGAACAACTCAGAATGGACAGTACTAAGCTGGTGAATGTGATTGTTAGAATAAAAGGGGTTGGTGTGATATAAACTGCCTAAATTGTGCTAAATAAAAGGGGCAGTATAAATGATAGAGATTATGCTAACCTGCAAGCATTTAATAACTTATTCTAAATTGGTATACATGACAAAATGAGATCATCATGGCATGTAGTCGGCGTAGTTAATGTTTAATTTCTCTATTTAGGAACGGTTTTTCTAACGTGTGTCCATGGGCTAACAAAATCCCTATAATTATATGATGATGAAGAATATTTTCAATCTTAAAAAAAGTAGGTTTGAAAATTTATTTGGAAAATAATAAAATCTTCATTATTTACTCTACCACATTTTTCCCAAATATTTTATTCAATTATTTTAGTCAATATCCTAATACAACTATTTAGAAAAATGAAATAAAAAATAAAAAAATTAGCCTCACCCACATACTGGTTTACGTACAGTACTACACATAAAACACCACTGAGGATGCTCTAGTATTGCATTTCTCATACTACGTATAAGTAGTTATGCACAGTCGCAAAAAACTCTCAACATTCTATTGAAATTAGAATTTTATTAGTAGTTTAGTACGTATGGTTAACTATTCGTATAGTCGTATATACATCCAATGATCCAAATCTTATCTCTCTAAAAGTGAGACGACAGCTGACTTTCTAGCAACACTGCAAAGTCTCTGTCATTCATCAAATTCAAAAGCTAAATGAATCAATGTCTTTAAATAAACCTATGATCTTTATCTTCGTACCTTTATGTGGCTTATAACATATAGATACATACATGTAACCAAAATTAGCCTAGCTATATAACACCATAAGTATAACTAAACACCGGAGGCCTAATGAATTTCTTGATTTTAGGCCGACGTTTAACGTGCAAACCTTGATGCTCCATTAATCTCTTGGCCTTAGCATAAGCACTCCTCAAACATGACCTGAATCTTCCTATGTCGAGTCGAACGTCTTGGCTTCTCAAGTATATGCCATGTAACGCAGACCAATTTGTACTTGTTATGGAATTTGGGTCTCTAATCGTAATATGATCCTTACCATATTTTTCAACCAAACTACTTTGGTTGAATCTTGTATTCCATGTACTCTAATTTCATTCCTTTAGCTAGATTCCGGAAGTATGTCTTCGCTAACCAATCGCCTCCTAGGGGAACCACTTGGATGAAAGCGGCATCAGGCTGAAGGAAGAGGGAGTGCGTAAGGGCAGCTCCGTGTACTCCCATGATTGCGTGACTACCATTGATTAACCTATAAACATCGCATAGATAAGTGTAGGCTGAAGGCTCGAATATCACAACATCGAAGCCTTCCTCTTGAGCTGCCTTTATAACATTGTCTTGGTTTAGTATGACACGTCCAACTGCCCCTGCTCGACTCACCAACACGAGCCTTGGCTTGCTTTTGATCTTAGGCGGAGGCCACACTAGGCATTTTCGATATCCTTCCTCAAGCAAGGCATGGAAATCGATGAAGCTCTTTCGATGAGGTATTAGTGAAGGGTTAATAGTCATGGGTCCATGAGTTATGAGCCCCGCTACAACAGATGGGAAACAATGTGACACTGTTTGATTGTCAAGGTTGATTATAGGACGGCTCGAAAATTGAGGAAGTATGGCCTCATATTTGCCATACCACCATTCAGTATAATTGGTTATGACTAGGGTAACTTCTTGATCTGGAAAAAAGGTGTTAATAGTGATAAAAAGTGGTACAAATCCGTCGTTAAAATCATGGAAGAAGTTGCCGGTATAGCCACCAATGCTGAACACTAAAGCCGGGGTGTCGTGTACAATTGTACAAGGAGAGTGTGATAGTTTTGTGGTTAAGGTGATTTCACGTATGTTAGACATGGAGTTAATGTCCATTTTACGGGGGTAAGGGCGGACTTTTTCGACTATAGGCGGGTTCATTATTGAGGGTGTCAATGACCTACTAGAGACTGTTGCTCTTTTTGGCTCTAATATGGTAGGACTTCTAAAATGACACCAATCGTAAAGTCGATGGGATCGATCACAATGGATGGATGGTTCGATAAGGTTTGGATTGCTCGACAAATGCCGGCTAGACAACGATGACATCTTTGAACTCAGCTTACTAGCATCATGTTGGACGGGCAATTTAGATATTGGCAATGATGATAGGCTCCTCATTACCTTTGTTGGTCTCCATGTTTTGTGATCTGGAAAGGAACAAAGAAGTAATTAGTCTTAAAAGCATTAAGTATACAAGTTAAGGACAATAATAGTTAACAACATTACAGCAATATGCGGCATGCAAAATCAAAAAGGGCAAAAAAATAAAATTGTGATGCATTAATGTTATATTTTCAAATGCATTAATTGCATATAGAGGGTCGAAACTCCACATACGTCAACCTAAGGCTGTAATTAGTAGGATAAGTGTCCTTAATAGGCCATAATATATTATTTTGGGGTAAACTAAAGAATGTCTTATACATGAGGACGGAAAGACCGGAAAGGCAAGGGATCCCCACCTCTATAAAGTTGTCTTAAAATAGATAAGGGAAAAGTGAGTAGAATTTTTTTTTAAAAAAAAAACCAAATGAAAATAAAGAGTAAATTAAACTCAATACACTTATGTTAGAGATATGAGATCAAATCTTATTGAAAAATATATGTGATATATTTTTCATATTGATATTGTCGTGAGAATAATATATTTAGGTTTATTTAGGTTAAAAATATTATTTAGTGAATATATCTCTACTCCTCCTATTGACATATGGTTTTGGGATGGAATCTCAGCTCCTTTGGACTTGTGAAGTGGGTTCTCTCTTTTCTTTTCTCAATGTGAGACACTTACATGTGTTAATTGGTAAGATATACTTCAAGACTCCCCCTCACATGTAAGGTCCCTTTAACTAAGGATCACTTGATCCAATTCAATTGGCCTAGAATACTTAATGCCATTAAAGGTCCCAAACCTTCGCCTGACAATATACTCAAGGCAAATTCTTAGATCTTATATGCACCCTTGTGCATCTAAGACGGCTGCACCATTCATTAAACACCCCCATTTATCTACCAAACACACATATATATTATGTACTACTTGTATATACTACTTCATCTCCTCCCTCCAATCTTCTTCCTACCTTATTTCTTTCTTTATTTCTTAATTTTTACATATATTTTCTCTTTTCCTAATTCTTTACTTAATTCTTAATTTTAATTGAAATTTTCTCTCGCCTCTGTGTTTGGCATCATCTTCTTCTTTTGAGATTTTCTCTCTCCTCCATTTTTTATATTTTCTGTGATTCGTGTTGGATTTAATTGGAATCATGAAGAGATTGTTGATATGGGTTAGTTTATGTTATTGATTTTGTAATTTGGTTTTATTAAGTTATATTTTTTGAATTTGTGATTGATATTGCACATATAATTTTTTTTTTGATTTCTAATCTATCAAGTTATAGATTGATTATTATTTTTTTCTATGATGAACCAAGATTAGATTTAAGGTGGATTCAAATTTTTTGAGTTAAAATAATTACAATCAAACTTGTGCATAAACTCTGTAAAATAAATGAACACGTAGTACCTTAAAATTGAACGTTTGATACAAAATGAACATTTTTATTTATATTTTTGGTTAGTAATTATATACAATGAATTTGAACCTATATAAAAATATGGAAGATAGCTGCACAAGGGTACAACTAAGACTTATTGATATACTCCAACCATTAGAGGTCCCATACTGTGGGTCTGGCTCTGATACCATGTTAAATATGGGTTTGGGTCGCACCCGCAAACCAAGAGAGAGCCCACTTTACAAGTCCAAAGAAGGTTCCATCTCAAAACCATATAGCAATAGGAAGAGTAGCCCTTAGCCTTATAAAGTGTTTGACTCTCTCTTCTTTTTGCAATTTGGGTCGCACCGGCAAACCAAAAGAGAGCCCACTTTACAAGTCCAAAGGAGGTTCCATCCCAAAACCATATAACAATAGGAAGAATAGCCCTTAGCCTTATAAAGTTTTTGACTCCCTCTTTTTTTCGCAATGTGAGACACTTATACGTGTTATTTGATAGAATATAATTCAACTAACTTATTAAGTTACTATAAAAAATAAAGGTGCCGACATTTACTAAAATTGCTACCACAACAAAAAAAAGAGACTTATAGAAGAATCAAGAATGTAAGGTCGACGAAAATTTCCTCATTTCCAAAAAAAAAATTGCTTATGCTTTGATTAAAAAGCTCTCATAATTTTGATAAAAAAAAAACTGTTGTAATTTTGTCAAAACGGATGAAGTATTTGAATAGGCACCCGATTAACCCCCAACTTGCACGCACAAAAGAAATAGATAAAAGTAAATACACACAAACAGGGGAGCTGGACATCAGGACATGATCAGGTAAAACAATTTGGACAATAGATTTGTTACAGTAAAAAAGCACACGGAGCAATTATTATACCACTAATACATTATCAACGTGACAATTAATTTGAAACACGGATGTAGTAATACTAGCTTAGCAAGTAGTTACCTTGAAGAGGGCTAGAAGTTCTGATGATGAACATGAATCATATTTGGAACGCAAAGAATAAGATAACAATCCTGCATAATCTCTCCTCCTTTAACTTCATTCTTACTCCTCCCCTACTTGTCGGTGCCTACTTTGCATTGCAATGTGAAAAAGTTAGCATATATATTTTGTTCTACTTCTATTAAATAACATACACGAATCAAAAAATACTATATATAGACAAATTATATACAAATACAGAAAATAATTATACATTACCAGATGAAAATGTGTATGCAATGTAGTCTATATATGTACAAACTAGTTAAACTTCTAGCTTTGGAGATGATATGGATAATTATATATGTTTAATAGCTTTTCTTTAAAGGTACGAATAGAGAAGGCAATGATAATGGAGTATTCTCCAAAAATAAAAAAATTGAAGAGAGAAAATGATGAAAAACAGGGGAGAAAAACAGAGGAATTGTGAAAAGAGTAGAGTTGTGCTTAAGTATCAAACTTACTAAGAGAGTTATTAGTCATAATAAGTGGAAATTGGGTCCACTTTTGGTGTTTTGTTTTGGGGTGTGTTAGGTGGTTGATTTTTTATTAAATTAATAATGACAGTTCTATCCATCACTTTCTTTTGTAGTGTGAGTGGTTTTTTTTTTTTTTTTTTTTTTTTTTCCTCTTTTGTATTGAACTTGATACATGTTATGCTGTATGCATGGACATTATTATTTTAAGAGTACACTTTACATCTCATTTCTTGTAGAAATAATTTTAATACTATAATAGCTGCTCTTCCATAAAGGCTCAAGTTTGGTGGAGATGGTGGGTAACTCATCTCGTAACTTCGAGTTTTAAAACCTCAAAAAAAAAAACCAAAAAAAAAAAAAAAAAAAATCGAGTTCCAGTAGAAATAATAGGATAATAGATGTGATAAGAATTTA